CCAGATACTATACGCTACAACAAAAAATTTTTTTGTATATATTTAAAGTCAACACTCATAGTTTTAAGCCAAACTATGACATGATGAAATTTGGATTATGAAAATGGTTTGGGGTTTAAGAAAACAAGAACAAGAACAAGAACAAAGAAGTTCAGAGAATATCTTAGGAGAAATGAGTATATCCAGATGGAAGAAATGAAGGTAGATATTGTATACTGTTGTCAAGTAGGTAACTAAGACTGTATTCTTCAGCAACATGTAACAATTTTTTCTTTGGTACCAGGGATTGAACTTGGGTCCTTGTGCTTGCAGTCCTTGCGCTTGTGAGGCAGGTCGAGGAACCACTGAGCTAAATCCCTGGCCAACATGTAACAATTTGAGGAAAGGGTTTGTCTAAACTTCATTACCAGCTTCTTCACTCACCATTAATGTTAGCACAATGCCTTATGTGAAGAAAGTTTGAAAAATCCATTATTGAAGAAATGAATGAATACATCTTGGTGAGCTGGATAAAGAGCCACAAAACATATTATACAATGAAGCCAAATGTTACTTAATATATTTAGGGAGAAAAAAATATATAAATCCCAAACAGTATTACATTAAGTAAAAACATAAAAGGAAATTACGGTAGAAACACACCTCAGACTGGCCACAATCAAAATATCATGTTGTACTTATAAAAGAAAATGAGCAGGGAAAAACAGATTGTTTATTCAAACTGATTATGCTACTTGGATTCAGTGTTTAGTTATGACCTACCTAGCAAATGAAGACCTGAAAAATACTTGAAAACTTTCAAAGAACCACATGAACATGAAAGTTTGGAAAAATAATAAGAAGTATTATAAATGTAACATACTATAGAGATCAAGATAGTATTATTTTTTGAACATTTATATGAAAGTACAGTATGGTGTTATAATATGAACCTAGAGACTGAAATATTCTCCACATGCTTTAATTTAATCTAGTCTGAAACCAATTACTCTTTCTAAATCAACTCACATTGTTAGCTTTTACCAGTGCTAGGGACAATGAATGTAGTATGTACTTACTACTATGAAAATACATTTATTTTCCCTAAGGCAGTCTTCTAAACCATATCCCTCTTGTTGGGGAAGAACATGAACAATTTTGTTTTTGACCTCTTTATATACTTCATAGCTTTTTCTGGTAAGCTTGTAGACAAATTTATGGCCTATACAGCTATTTATGCATTTTAACTTTTATTTTAAGTATGAATTTCATATTCTTCTCCTTGCTCTTTTTCTTTCTTCTCACTTACTTTTAATTATCTTTATTTAATGTTTCTAAAAACAAACTCAAAGTATTTTGGAAACAATGCATAGGTCTAAATAAATAGGTATCACTAAGATCCTTCATGATATTAACTTTTTCAGTCACCTCTCCTCTCAGCTTTTCCCTTTCCAAAAAATAACAGCTTAATAGATTTTTTAACTTTTTTTTTTCTATCATCCAACCTATGTACTTCCCTGAATGTTCATTTTAGTTACAAAGGTGAATGGACTTTTGAAGGATAATTGGGGGTAAAAGACATATAGACAGTTGACATATTTTTTCAAATGGATAGAAAGATAGAGATTTTTAAGTCATATAATGGTGGTCCAGGAATCCGCCTTGCCACGTCTGACTAAGGCAAATCAATAACTTGAGTTATTTTTAAATTACTTCCATTGCCATCCTGCGATCCTCTGATGGTATCCCTGATCTGAGCATGTGGAGTTATAAATCATATAGAATATGTCTTTCTAAGCAGATTACATGGACCTAGCAGAGAAACCTGTCAGAGAATATGACAGTGAGTGGGGTGCTCAAATCAAACCTTGCATAGAGAACTCAGATCCAAAGTATTCCGGGAGAGGAAACTATATACATCAAAGGCCTGGAGCTGGGAACAAGCAACAGATAAGTTAAAAGGCACAGAATGACCCAGTCTTCAGGATTTGTGAGGAGACAGACTCAAGTGGAGCAGATTGTTACGTGCTCCAATAGACAAGGGAACAGAAGCTGTGCTAGGATTGTGAGGAAGAGAGAGACATAATGCACACAATATTTTCAACCTATTAAAAAACAGCAAAATGAACCAAGGCCATTATCATGCATTGAAGAGAAAGGGAGCTTCTAAGAGGTCTTTGGAGGAAGAGTCAACTAAACCTGATAATAGACAGAACAGGAAAGAAAAAGCTCAGATTTAATCTGCAAGCATTTAAGAACAATAACATTCCAAACAGATAAGACCCTGTGTGTGGAAGAAGAGGCAAGAGAGAAAGAAAGGATCAGCTGAGAACATCATGTTGTATTTCCATTAGTACAGTGGATCATTTGGGAGATCCAAGCAGCTGAACATATATTGTTGGTCTACAGGTAGGCACTCAGAGCTAGAAATCATCTGTATAGAGACGATAGCTTAAACCAATATGAACGAAAGAACAATCAAAGAAAGTAGGTTTTCTTTTAACTTCCTTTAAAGGTTTAGCTTAATAAAATTACACTGTACTGAGTATAAGAAATTTGGAAAATGCAGAAAAAAATTAAAATGACTTGTAAACTCATCACCCAAAGATAAAAAAAACCTGTAAACTCTCCAGCATATATCCTTACAATTTCTGTTTTTCTGCATGCTTTTGTAATGCCCTTTATATGGTAGTATATCATAGGTCCAACTACTCAGTAGTGTCCCACCTTCCAGTAACTGTTCCTCCCCTGGATAACAAGGGTTCTATCATCCAATAAGTTTGGGGAATCTGCAAATGAGATCCTCCCCTTTGAAATAAGGTGGCATGCTGGTATCCATGCAAAACAAAGGAGACTTTATATAATGAAAAACTGACAATCTTACTTGCACAGGGGTATGATTTTTCAAGCATACCTTTTAACATCACCCTAAATGATTTTCTCTTTGAAAAGTGATGGTACAGTTGTTAGGAGCTTGAACTGTACCCTGGAATGGGCACAGGTTAAGGACCTGACCTCTCTGCTTTGCTCTCTTCAGAAAGTTGCTACTTATACATCACCTTTCTCTTCATAAAAGAAGTACACAAGTATTTTATCCCTCAGAACCTCACAGAGGGTCAAAAATATAATGTGTATAAGGCTCTTGGCACAGTGTCTATCAGTTATGGCATAACAAGTTATTGTCCAATAAGATATTGTGGAACATTTAGTTCCATTTTTCTTTTACAAATGTTTTGATGGACATCTTTACATATAAAAATTTGTCAACATCCCTGATTGATTCCTTATGGTTGATTCTTAAAAATGGAACTGCTATCTAAAGGAGCAAAACTATTTTAGAGTTTTTGATACATGGTTACTAAATTCCAGAAAGCTTTCATCAAATTCTATTTTTACCATAGGCTGGATAGTCATCCCCATAGGTATTCTAATCCTTCTGTTAGGATAATAGTGCAGTAGGTTTACTGAAAAGAAGCAGAAAGAAACATCTTGTTGCGTTTACATTTGCTTTAGGCATAGAAATAAAGAGAATTTTTTTTTTTTTTTTTTTTTTTTTTTTGGTACCGGGGATCGAACTCAGGTCCTTGTGCTTGTGAGGCAGGAGGCGGAACCAATGAGCTAAATCCCCAGCCCCAGAAATAAAGAGAATTTAAATGTAAGGATTAACTATTTGAAAGATAAATCCACTTGCATGCTGACTTCCGAGGCTTCTATCTGGGATGAACTGAGCAGGCCTGAAAGTGGGAGTCTTACAGAGCTATATCTGAAGGGAGATAACTCCAATGGCTCAAAATAAAACAAAAGCAGGCAATAAAAATAGGTTAAAATAAATATGATGATAACATGAAGAACAAATCAATTTAGAAGTTTAGGAACTGATCAAAATGGTTGTTTGTCTAACTCATGCTGGAAAAGATCCAGTTGTTTAATACGTTGCTTTTGCAATAATGAGTCTTAAAGAGTTGGCTATTTCATTCCTATTGACATAAAAGTATATTTGCAGCCAAGGTGACAGATTATTGAGAAGACGGTAATAAGGGAATTCCATTTCCAGGAATCGATCATAAAAATTCATCAAGGATGTTGACGTGATTCTATGTGTAAGTGAAGTATAGTGAGCATACACTGAAGTCCCTGAAGGCAGACTCTGTCTCAGCAGTCTCGGATTCTCCATGACCTACATGGAGACAGACACATACATATAAGCAGTATGTTTCTTGTGTGTATAGAATTTTAGGTGTGAGGTTTTCATGCTGTCTATTTATGTGTGGGACTGTTGTTCCTCAAGGAAGAGATACAGTCAATTTAGACGTTGAAATGGTATCACTGATAATATATTTCCAAGATGAATCAAGGGCACATGTGGATGAACAATATCTCCTTCAGCTATACATGATATTTTTATTCTCAGATACAAAGGAAAGGCATTTTCCAATGATATATTCCAGAAAGAATCAAATTGCCTTTCCACATAATGCCACAAAATGTCATCAGATTACTCTGGAAGTACATTTCACACTTTAAATGATTTTTCTTATTTTTAAATGCTGTTAATTAAATAATAAAAGTGAAAGGTTCTATTCATAATTATAAAAGTTACTCCTCTCAACTTCTACCTGAGGCTCTAAGTTACATGTATTATCCAGTTTTGATGTCTATATCTGATAATTAGCTGAGAACTATTAAATCCCCAGTCATAGATCAAAAAGGATGAATGTTTAAATGGCGAGGTATTCACTACCAAACAACATTCCAAAAATTCAATGCTTTCCATTATATCACTAAAGCCATAAGTTAGTGGAATGATTATGAAGCCTGTGACTCATAGGATTGTTGAACTAAAAAGAAAGAGAGAGAGAGAGAGAGAGAGAGAGAGAAATCATACTCTTTACTTAACTGCCTATTGTGAAACATTATAAGTTCCCTCTGTAAGATTCATTTACACCCGTGAATCAGAGTTTCTAGTAAATGTTAATAGAAATAATAGAATTATAGATACAGTGGCAACTAGAGGTTCTTACCTGAGTAAGGAAGGGTAGAAATGTGACATGCAGGAAACCCAATGTAATGGTTGGTTGAAAAGTGATTTTAAGGAATCTGAAACAGACTCATCCATGCCATGCTGAAAAGTTCTAGGGAAGCAAAAGTAATTACTTTAGAATCTACAGAAAATATTGACTATGAAGACCATTGAAATAACTTTTGATTTTTAGGCAGTGTTTAGTAAATTATTTTTATGAAAAATGGTATGGTGCTAAAGTAGAGAATGCACCCCCTTCATCCTCTTGGAACAGGTCGACTAGTCAACAGAGCCATGAAAACCATGAACTGAGACTTTGGATTTTTAGGAGCCTGGATATAACAATCCTTAACTTGGGAAATATAACAGTGCCATTATTATTTAATAGTTTGTTTACACTCACATTATAAAAATTGTCAAAGATAAATGCATAAATAAAATACAATGAATATTTCCCATGTAGTATGCTTACATCCCACTAGATTCTCCTCTACCTGCACTCAAAAAAAGCTAACATTTTTTCATATTTACTTGATTAATATGAAAATGTTTAATATGAATACCTCTTTTTAACTTTTAAGAGTGACTTACAAATATTAAACAATAAATGAGACTTTATAATTAATTTTGTGTTAAGTGCCAAGAAAGGGCTCATAAGAACTTAATTGTAAAATATATTACTGTAATTTAAAAATTAGAATATTTTGGCTAGCCTATCTGGTGTGCAACTATATTTTGGAAGTGATTGAAACCTTTCTTTCTAAGTTGGCTCAAATTCCACTACAAATCTTGACCATAATAATAAAATATTTTTACATAAAATCTTTAACAGACAGTTTTGCTAATAAAAATTTTATAATCACAAGAGTCAATATTTACCCACATAATTAAGAATGATCATTGGGAACATTTTAGAAATGCAACAGTCTGAAGTGATACCATCTTTCTATATAGTAGAGAAGCAACAGTGTCTTTTGATCCTAAATGATCAAAACAGAACTGACTTCCAGTATGAAAAGTCATTCCTATCTTTTCATTCCATATTTGTTCCTTGTAACCTCCCATTTTCCAAATTTGATCCTTTTCTCTCCCTGTTGTCTTGCTGAGTAGAATATCTTACTTAATATAGTTGGAATTTTATATTTATATCTATTTATATGTATGTTTACAATTTTAATTTATCAGCATATGTTTTCCATATATAATAATTATATTCATCCTGAGGAATTCGTACATACACATATCACATCTACTTGGAAATTTTTTAGGCTTTGAATAGTAGATCACCCCCTCCTTGAAAGTTATTTATTCTCACTAAATTACAGATCAGAACAAAATTCCTTAAATAGTTTTGAAAGTTAGGTTGTAATATTTCCATTGGATGCACTCCACCGTGTGACCTATAGAGAGAGGCAGGAGATAGGTCAGGTGCCAGGACAAGCTTTTCCAAGGAGCCTAGGCTTTGGAACAGCCATGAGGAATACTAAAGAGTTAATAGCCTGGGAGTGAGACCAGCAGTTGCACATCTGAGAACATTCACTTCAGAATTAGTGAGGAGGGAGGTTTGGGGGGGATCAAGGGTAATGAAGGTGCTATTGCCCAAAGCCAGTCAGAACTGGATAAGAGCCTAAACCAAGGGAAGAGGTGAGGAAATAGCGAAGGGCAAATATTAACAAGTGTTAAATTTATAAAATTGATAATATTCATCCTTTAATGACATAGGGTTGAAGATGACAGGAGGGTGAAGCTAGAAGAGGTACATTAAGGGAAAGGGGGCTTAACTCACAGGTACTTTTCTTAATTTTAGATGTAAAGTGTGAGCTAAAAGCATTTTAAATACATCCAAAGAGGCATACAATCAGAATGTGGATTTAGCAACCTAGCATTTACTAGAGATATCTACTTTGAAAATATCCGTGTAGAGGTCATCAGTGTAATGGTCAAGCCATGTGAATGAGAGAGTTCACCCAAAGAAAGAATGTGAGATGAAAAGGTGGTCAAGATCTTTGGAAAGCATCAACAGTTAAAGGATGAGATGAGAATAGGAAGCATTCAAATGAAAACAAGAAAGAATAACCAGGGAAGCAAGAAAAGAGCCTGAATGGAGTGATGCTAGGAAAAGGAGGAAAAGAAAAAATGGTCAATACGTCAAAAGCCGCAGAGAGGGTAAAAAGAAAGAGAGTCCTTTGGAGTTAGCAACTGGCTATTCACAGATGACTTTGTCTCTGTTTAGCATGAGAAGGTCAGGAGTCCACTTGCAGTGCACTGGGGGAATGGTGGAGACCACCTCTGAGACCTGTTTTAGGTGGAAACACAATGACAAAAGAGAAATATTTTTAATGCAAAATTTAGTGCAGGATCCAGATGATTGATTGAATATTTAAAAGACCAAGGCCAATGAGTAGGAGGTAAATGTTATCAAGTACTCAGGTAAAAAGATTTGCCTCAATTAAGATGATCAAAGATCAGTACAGGGATATGGAAGTGAATAGGATCAAAATCATTATTAAAAGTGGATGTGAGACGATAGAGTTCATTCACAATAGTCCAGATTTTCTTAGAAACGTATGGAGGCGAGGTCATCTGCCAAAAATCAGTGGGATGGGGCAAGGTCAGGGGGTTGAGCATGGCAGAGAATGGAAGGAGGAGTGGCCCCAGAGAGCAGACAAAGAGCAGGGCAGTCAACAGGTACAAAGGATTGCTAAGTGATACTCCCAGCCAGTACCAGGGTCTGCATAGATGGCCCAACAAAGTGAAGGTACAGGGAAGAGACATGCACAGCAGGAAGCTAGGAATAGGGGAGACACAGGAGGTGCAGCAAGGGGCTGGAGAGACAGGCAGTCATGAAGGGAGCGACAGACTGGGGGAATGGCTGGGACAAGAGAGGAAGGGTTTGAAAGTGAGGAGCGACTAGAGACAGACAAAACCACGGCCAATGTCTACTTTCCATCTACTTCTCTGATACCTTTGTCCAATTATCTTGGGGCCAGTTTATTTCTCTCAGAATGAAGAGTTTATCTAGGATGACTCCTTGGTCACTGTCAGCCAGCTCCGTAGATTACTCCACCTCAGAATCATCTCTAACAAGTCCTCCCTGACCACCGCTTAAACATATCCCTCCTCACCACTTCTCTGTACTTTCTTGGCTTTTTTCCTTCATAGGACTTAACTCTACCTCCTGTCTTCTTTTCATATTTACTTTTCATCTCTGTCTGCTCCATGGCCTGAAGAGGGGGTCAATGAAGGTTATTTGAAAGCAGTGTGTGAGCATATACAGGAGCGATGGAGTCGGATACCCTGAGTTTGTGTCCTGGGTGTGCTCTTTATTAGATATGTGGTGTTGGATAGCAATTTACTTAGAGCCAGTTTTCTCATTTGCATAACGGAGGTGAATGGATCAGTTTGAGAAGTCTGTTCAATGACACGTTTATAAGAATTAACAAAGCACCACATACACAAAGCAGGATCAGCATGGGTAAGGGGTCAGTATGATGACAAATGCAAGTGGATCTTAAGGTCTATGATTATATCAAAACTGACATAAAACTCCTAATAGTCTACATGGTTGCCTAGTTACAGTTTCATCCTCATAGTAGAAAAAATAATGGGAATCTAATAATAATGGCAGAGTAAGTGGTACCAAAATTTCTTCGACTAAAATGCACTGGTGACACAGTATTTACCGGGACATTTGTGCCAGAACCTTGCACTCCACTGACAGTTCCTCAGTCATACTGGTAAACAGGAAAGTTGTTTGGCTATGAGAGATGTTATGGCAGATGTTTATGGTCTCAGAGGGTGTGGGATCTGCATGAGCATTTAATTCCACAGCAAGATCCCAAATTAGTTTCATTATTCTGGCGAGTATAACAGGGTGAAAATTGGCCCGCAAACCTCAATGGGGGAATGAAATTATGAGCTAGCTATTAGATAAACTCTAATGATGTTTTGGTATACAGTTAAAAAAGAAGATGCTCTGAATAATTCATAATGGAGAATAAAATACAATTGTATGAGCCATAGCATTATATTTTCTGCAAGAACATAAAAGAATTTTGACATAGCAAGTTTACACACTTTGAAAATAAGTGTCTATAAGTTGAAGCAGAAAACATTTCTTCTCACTTCCAAATTAACAGACAAGTAGCTTTCCTTAGGAGGAAAAACTGAATTTGGGGAAAGTCCTTGCTCTTGTCTTTCCTCCAACAGCAATGAACCAAGCATCTTCCCTCTCACTAACATGCTGCCTCTGGAATGTAGCACTCCAGCACCAGCTCCTAGGTCCATTTTCTCTTGTTTCTCTGATCTACGTGTATGCTACCCCCTAAAAAAAAAGATTGGCTTCCTGGGCCAACTACTAGTATAAAATAAATCCAGGGCATATAGAAAGTGAAGATATCTGAAAGCTAAAAAGACGTAGCTGGATTTATGCTTTCCTTGCATAGCTCTAATTTTGGCTGCCCCCAGCCAGCAGAATCTGATCTCATAATATGATGCTTATAGGATAAAGCTACCCTATGGAATGAAGGCAGCCCAGAGTAGGAGCTCCATGGAGGTGGAGGCCTCACATTGCAGGAGGTAACCATGTTGCATTCTCTGGTTACGGGGCCCATGGAAGTGTTTAATAAAAACACCAATAGAAGACCATAGCCTTTGAAGAAGAATTCGTTTGAAATGGAACTACTGAGATAGCACTTGACTACATGGGATAACTGAAGACTTGTGGGCCTTTTCGATGGCCCCCCAAATCCTAAGCAATTGTGAATAGGTAGAAATTACCAAATTTGATCCAATTCAAGATTTAAAGAAAATTCTAAAAATCACTGCTTTGCTTTAAAAAGAAAATAGTATTACCTCTAGGGCCAAATGTTGCTTAAATGTTATTAAGTGAGAGAGATCAAGGTAAAAACACTGAGTAAATTATGGTTCACTACATTTCTTCTGTCCTCTGGCTTGAATTTCTTATAATGAACAAGCCTCTCACAGATTAGAAAATGATGCTTTTAAGTTAGAAAATGGCTGGCACAATGCCACATTCATAGCAAATATAGTAAATATGGTGGAGAAAAAGAAAGGACAGTAGAAGGTATTGCCAGGAAGGGGTATGAATGTGGGAAGAGCACACATCAAGGGGCAGGCAGAGAGAGGGAAGTAGGGAGGATGGAGAAAACAAGACCAGAGCCCAGTACAGCAGCAACTGCCCACAGATTCAGGGCATAGGCCAGCTCCAAAATCAATGGCTGGTCCTTTCCCAGTGCTTTACCTTGTCAGGACCACAGGTAAAGATGTTTGAGTTTCTGTTTTTAAAAATATATTTACCTTTAAAATAATTAGAGGAAGATACACAAAAGGATATACCTTAGCTAAAAAAAAGGCTAAGATAAGAAAGTGAAGTTATTTATTAATTTAGTACTGGGGATTGAACCCAGAGCCTTCACACTCAGTTAGATTCCAGCACACTGAGCTACTTCCCTACTTTCCCAGAGGAAGGGATATATAAGTATGCGTGTGTATGTGTGTGTGTGTGTGTGTGTGTGTGTGTGTGTGTGTAAGGTATATATATATATATATGGTAGACCTCTGACTTATGGACTCAGTTCGTACACCAGGGCTGGTTGTAACTCAAGTTGGTCAGTTGAAAGCTCAGGTTCCTCTACTCAGCCTTCAAAGTCTCTCCTGCATACAGGTAGATCTCAGTGTCCTTAGAGAGACATTGGCCCAATATTTCTTAATTAACTCCACACAGGAAAGGACGTTGTAATGTTCCTTCCAGAACTCTGGGACCATCTGGAAGCACAATCGGCCAGCATTTGGGTTGTAACTCAAGGCTCTGGTCGTAAGTTAAAACTAAATTCCAGTCATGACTCAGGTTGTTTATATGTCAGTCTAGGTGTAACTCCAGGGTCCACTATATATCTATATAGTGAAGTATATATATATAGATAGATAGATAGATAGATAATCTAGAAAGAGAGAGAGACAGAGACAGAGAGAGACAGAGTCTGGCTAAGCCGTAAAGTTGGGCAAGCTGGGCTTGAACTTGTGACCCTCCTGTCTCAGCTTCCCAGAGGGGTGGGATCACAAGCCTGCACCACCATGCTCAGCTTATTTTTTGTATTTTAACCATTTTTATTGTTTTTCCATTCAATCTACATTCATTTTTGAGAATTTTATTAAGATGTTATTTATTATACACATCTGAAGTGTATGACTGAAGTGTTTCCACTGTATTCACAGAACTGTGTAACCTACATCACTACCTAATTTTAGAGCATTTCTTTATCTCCCAAAGAAACCTGTGCCTATGAACAGTCACTCTTCTTTTTCTTCTCTCTTCAGCCCCCAGCAGCCACCAGTCTACTTTCTGTCTCTATTAATTTACTTACTCTGGGTATTTCTCATAAAAGTAATGAAAAAGTGTTCTATTTTTATGTTGTATTAATTTTCACTCAGCATAATGTTTTTGAGATTCATTCCAATTGTATACTGGAATTTAATATATTACTGTTTTTACTGCTGAATAATATTCCATGGTATACACTGGCCACATTTTGTTTATCTATCCACCACTGATGGACTTTTGAGTTGTACCATTTTGTGCTATCATGAAAAATGCTACTATAAACAATGTTGCACAAATCTTTGTATGGACATACGTTTTCATTGCTGGGTCATAAGACTATATGCTCAACATTTTACACAAGCACACTCCATGTTAATATACTGAGGAATTTCTTAATTGTTTTCCAAATGGTGTCAACCATTTTGGACACATGAAAAACAAAAATTTAGTCCGAAATATTTGTTTTCTAAGAGACAGTGTAATAGTTAAGAAAAAGACTAAATAGGCTAAGGATACATCCTCAAAAGATTTAACATTAGTTTGAAACAAAGCTATGGACAGTATTGGAGTATCTAATACTGTATTGGAGTATCTATGAATTCAGTGAGTCAAAAACCTTATGAGTAACACCAAGGGGCCCCCAGAATGAGTCTGTTCTTTCTGGGCTTGGAATCAACCTTCTGTCCTATTTCTAATGACCCTAGCCTTGCCTGGTATATTGGCACTTGTACTGAAATCTTGTTTTTTCATGTCATTAAATGTTGAAGCACTCAACTTTCAAAGAGTTTCTATTTTTAGGACTTTCTGTATGACACATCAAAACATTTTGGAAAGATGTAAATTTATTATTTAATTATAACATTAGCAATTTCATCAGACTTTCCTGAATGACTTCAGGGTAGATTATACATTTTATTTACTTTTACATCCCTGTGGTTAATCCCAGGGGCTACAGAGACAACAAAGTTTGTTGAATTAAAATAAAATTCCATGTACTGAACATTTAGAAGTTAATCTTGTGGTAGGAAAGGTGCTGGAAATTGAACCTAGGGCCAAAAACTAATCATCTATGCATCAAACGGCAAGGTAGGCAACTACTGTGTGCTATGTATGAGAGAGTGTGTGTGAATGTGCTTCCAAATGCACAGTCTAACTGCCTTCACAAAAGAACTACAAGTGATAAGCGGTGGGGGAAATACACGGTGAATATTTTATGTTTCAGCAGGTCTCTTTCCCTGGAGGACAAATCTAAAGTACTACTCACACAGCATTCCAACAAAAATCTACAAAGGCCACTTAAAAAAGAACACATACACATTTTTGGGAACAGGTTTCATTCTTCCCGAAAAAATTTTAAAATCATGTAATCTTGCCTTGGGATTTAGTGGTCCTACACTAAGCTCAGAAAGAAAAACACTTTCAGTTTACCTGTCAGAACTACTTGAAGTAAAGACAGTCACCTTCTAAAACAGCATTTCACACTGAATGACTAATGCTAAGTGCAGTTTATAAAAATTCAATACTATCAACAACTGACTGTTACTTTTCACCAATTCCTCAAAGCATATGGTTTAATTTTTTAACATGAGACACAGACAATTTTTTTTCTAAAATGGTAATAATATGACAACTTAACATTCCAGCTGTGAAGAGAAACTCAGTGATGCAACAGGGTTCTTGCAAAATACATGTATTTTCCCCTCACTGGTAAAGAATATGATGCCTTGTAAAATTCTTCTGTCAACAAAAGTCAAAATCTATCTCAAAGATTAAATTTGTATTCTAGGAAAACAACAATAAAATTTAAATCAACATGAAAATAAAACATGAATTTTTAAATTGAGAAATATTTTAAAGGAATTGAACTATATCTAGATCTTTGCTCATGCCTGAAAGCAATATAGCTATCTAGGCTTTACATTAAGAAAACTCAGATATGGTGCTTGGTATGAAATGTTCTGTGATCCCGGTTAAAATTAGCAATTTAAATTTGCTGAATGAGATTACAATGCAGGGTCTAATACACAAATCTTAAAGATTTCAGTATTTCCATACTTGTTACAAAGTATGTAAAGGTCACAGGTTAATAATAATAAATGTATGTCACATAATTATTATTAAAGTATGCAATCTTTGATAATAATTTATTTGTTTTACAAATGCATTGGGGAGTAAAAATTTTTCAATTCATCTGTGACAAACCATGAAATTCAATATTGCTCACCATGACCAATCCATGAAATTTGTCAACTTTGTTCCTGATTTTCACAGGGCCTTCCTCTTAAATGAAATGACCCAGTGAACTGAAAGCACAGCAATTTTTTCATCTATGGTAAATCAGTTTAGTTTACCAGGATTTATTATAGGCTTCAGACTTGTTTTTCATGATTATGAACCATTATGTATATAATCTCAACCTTATGGCGATTTATCTCATTGTTTCTTCCCCTTGTTGAAAGAATTTTCCATTACTAAAATTAGTTCTCAACCCAGGTTGATAGAAGGAATATTCTATAAACAAAGAGTTTGTTGAAAGTCAAAGATTAGGTGAGAAATATAGGAAAATTGAAACCAAAGTTGTTAATTACTCTTAGAATATCCAAGACAAAAGTCTTGAAATTTATTGAAAACTATGATTTGTGTATCACCTTTACCAAAATGTTATGGAAACCAATACTTTACATATTTAGACTAAGAAGTAAAAATATTATGTGAAATTTTTCATGTCTAATAAACTAAAAACATGCTATTACACACTCCTTCAGTACAAAGTTGATAATTTTAGAGGAAGATTTAATAATGATATTAATGTTAAAATTATAGTATCTTTTCCAATCTTTTCTATAACATTATGAATGTGAATGAGATTAACTAGAAATCAGTAATTCCAAAATTTTAATTTCTCTGAATTTTGTATAGCTAAGTAAACTACTTTAGCCTTTTTAATGCAATTACTTATTTCTATTTCCATTTGTCATTACTAGTTCAGACATTAAATTCTAATATTAAAAGCACAAATCTATGGCAGATTTATTGAAAGTGTGAAGATATTAAGTCTCTTAGAATTGGACATATTTTAAAATTATTTTTAATATTTTTTATTAGAACAAATTATATACAATTAAAAACTAAAATACGTTCTTTAAAAGAGCAAAAAAAAACTACATGTGATTTTGTTTTTATATATTATCAAGCAGTGACTAAGATAACCAACTGATAAAGATATTTTGATCACCTAACTCAAAAAGTAAAGCTTACAATGTTCCTGACTACATGGAAACCTTCCCAACTGAATGAGATTATGGAGTAGAGATGCAACATTTGTAGGACTAAATTGCCCTGAAAATGAAAAAACTTTTGTTGGTTGATGTAATTTTATAAAATGTATCAACTTCAAAAAAAACACATTTCAAAAAATTTACTTGCTTCTTAGTACAATCTGATAAGTGACATGAAAATAACTGTTAAACACATTATTTTATATATTAATATAGGTAAAATAATACATATTTGATACTTACTTATATAATTCTCTTAATGGTGAAGCCAAGATAGCTAATGTTGTAAGCAGATTATTACAATGGATATGAATTTTAAAGATTTTATCATCTTTATACTCCTGAGGATTCAAAAGTCTCTGTACAGATGTACAAATCGACCATAACATGTTCTCAGCACATATCAAAATTGTTGTAACATCAAGCCTATTGGGAATAAAAAGAGAATCATGTTAAACAGAATAATCTTTCTGCTTGGTATATACATTTTCATCCATTACTCTTATTCTAACCATACATAAGAATAGAAAAGACTTCGTTAGATGTCAGCATTTTAGAGACCAAACACAGAAAGGATCAAAGATACCTTTTGAATTTCCAGGTGTTACATGACCCACAGTACCATTATCTTTAGGGGTAGTGTTCGTGTTCTGGGAATGCTTTTTGAAAAATGTTTACTTTGCATTATCAAGATTGTTGTCCCGAAACTCAAGAGATTGTCCTTGGAATTGTACTGAGCAAAATAGAGCTAGATGCAAGAAAAATTTGCTATCAGCAACACAGATGTAGCAGGTGAAAATTTGATAGCAAAACAGTTCTTCTTATCCATGTGCAAATTGTCAAAAGGAAGTTATAATATGCTTAATATGTTCACCCACTGGTAGGTAGTAAAAACAAATGGCAATACAAGCACAAATAGAGATGCTTATAATTTCAAAAATTTCCAATATTAAATCAATTATGGAAAACTTGCTATGCTGTTTATTTTAGTCATAAACTTATTTCTTTGTTTCTATCTTTCAGGAATTTAAAAATTTTTTAAATATATTTTTAATTGACACATAGTAATACATATTTATGGGGGACAGTGTGACATTACAATACATGAACACAATGTATAATGATCAGTTAGGGTAATTGGCACATCTATCACCTTAGAAATATAGTATATTACTTCTTTCTTTGTGTTGAGAACATTCTACTAGCTATTCTGAAATATTCAATTAATTGCCATCAACCATAGTTATTCCAACATGCAATAAAACACTATTATTTATTTTTCCTATCCAACTGCACCCTGTACACATTAACCATCCTCTCTATATTCCCCCTTTCTTGAATTTTTTTTTTTTTTTTTGTACCGGGGATCAAACCTTGCCCTTGTGAGGCAAGTGGCAGAACCACTGAGCTAAATCCCCGGCCCAACTGAATTTTTTTTTTTTTTTTTTTGGTACCAGGGATTGAACTCAGGTCCTTGTGCTTGCAAGGCAGGCAGTGGAACCACTAAGCTAACTTTAATAAGAACCCAAATTTATATTTAAAGATTTTTTTTGTTATATGACTAAGTTGAGCAGACCTTGTTAATTTTCTTTTTTCCCTTTAAATTCAGAGTTGAAGAAACAAAATTGAAATTTTAAAATGATAAGAAAAGTAGGTAAGTTTGGAGATCTTTTACAATGACATTTAGGTCTCAAATTTATTATGTATATACATACATATACATATATAAACTCTTACACATAGTTTTGGTTACATGACATGTGGAGGCTACTAGAATACTAAAATCGTCAATAATTACCTTTAGGAAGGTTTAATTGTAGCTCTTATTCACCTTCTCTAATTGCTAAATTATAACCCAAGACACACACACACACACACACACACACACACAAATATAATCTGATTTCCACAGTGATGATGGTTTAGGATTAACCACTCAAATTAAAATATTTATAGATTTTGCTTATGAAAACTAGAAGCAATAGGGTCAAGGATTTAGCTCAGTGGTTCCATCACCTGCCTCGCAAGCACAAGGATCCAAGTTCAATCCCCAGTACAAAAAAAAAACAAAGCAAAACTAGAAGCAATAATTCTACTTTTGCCTGGCATTTTTATGCAACCATCCAGAAAATAAAAACCAAAAGTCTCCACAGTACAGTTAATTAATTAAATATACTACCTATTTCATGAGCTGACAGTAAATATGATTTCACAAATACCTCATAATGACTTGCCATCTCATAGTCAAAAGTGATTTACACTACACAAGAAAAAGAATGAAGGTATTCTTTGCTCTCAAAAGGAATTTTCCATTTATTCTTCAGAGTTCAGGGTTTTTTTTAATAGCTTGGGCAGTAATTCAAAACAGCCTATGCAAAATACCGTATTTATGAAGCACTGTAGCAAGAACTAAATGCCCTTCAAATTGCAGCATACTTTACAAGAACATGATCAGGAAATGATTCTTCCTGAGGAACAACAACAACAAAAAAGGCTCCTCTCTGTAGATTCCTCCTAAAATACATCTGAAAAAAAATTTTTTTAGACCTAAAAGACAGGTCTTAATCACCTTAGGCAGAGTATTTTTAAAACAAGTCTTTTCTTCATACAAATCATTGTTGTCATGTAAACCCATTTGTATAATATTCATTGCTTAAGTAACTCATAGAATTGCAGTATAATTCAGTCTTCAATTTAAAACCCAATAACCCAGTGACTTTTGCTCTTCAATTTCTGTTATTTCACATATTTTTTGAACCAGCCTTTAGTAATACATAGTGAAAGGGAATGGAATACAAATAAAGGAAAAGAAAAATGGGAGAATTAGAATATATTAAGAAGAAAAATGATTAGACAAAGTAGTTTCCTTAATGAAGACAAACTACTATATTTAAAACCTTAAAAGAATAATAAACTAAAATCCCTTGGTGGCCTAGAAGCTCAAAGTCAAATTAACTGCTCAGACACAGCATGGTGGCTTTTTTCTCCATTTCAGGACCTTAATTTTCTCTCTTAATCTTATTAACCCTTGTGTATATGTGTCCTAGATTATAAGACGTCTTCAATACTTTCTTAGCCACAAGTGGCTTCTATGTACAATTTTAAGAAGAAAAACAGAACCAAGTTATTTTCATTCAAGGTCTACCTTTTCACTTAAATACGCCAGGAGAATTGAACACGTTTTCCCTTCAGATGTTAGAAACATGTTACATATACGAGGAGTTACATTGTGAGATTCAGGATTACATTCTCCTTTATACCAACTGATGAAAAGGTTTTCGTGAAAAGCAATGGCTTTCAGAACTTCAATTACCTTATCTGCGGAGTTCTTTTATAACTTGGCTGGACCCACGCATATCTGGAAGCCAGTAGACCCAAGGATTTTTCCAGCATTTCTGCTAGGATCTCCTGGGCTAACTGAGGGGGAAGAATGGTCCAAAGATCGTGATGAAGAGCCCAGTAGAAATAATGCCACATCTGGAGTGAGAAGGAGCATCTTTCCCCCTGGCAAAACAACCACACATTAAACAATAGAATCACATCTTCCAAAATGTCAGTTGGCTTCCTATGAATCTAATTAGTTCAGGCTGGAAGGAAGTAGCTGGAGAGTCTGACATACTAGATGACCAACAAAGATTTTTGACAAGATGTTAAACATCCTCACTGACAAAGGAACATATGTTTTATTTCAGTTATGAGACCAGATATTCTAATGTAAATCCAGACTGCAAGAATTTAACTTAGCATATCCTTGACTTACCTGCTCCTGGCCTAGCACTGAAAATTTACTCTTAAACGATCGGCTTTGTAGCTGCTGAACAAGTTTTGCTGGCTGGTTTAAGATAATACACTGGTTCTTCCAAAGTTAAAATTTGTTTAAGTTAGTTTAAAAGGTATATTTTTCTGAGACTATTAGCATCACTGAGATAATTATATAAATCTTTCAGATTTCACATTGTAAAGAAATGAAAAAAGTGAAAATAAATTAGTGAGCTACAGCTTATTAATATTCATGAAACCAAGAGGGAGGTGCAACTATTGAAGATTATTCTATTAGACTATTTCACCTATGGCTTTTCAATAACAGTACCATAACCAACAAAACATACTAGAAGTAATCTAATTTTGCAAGCTTTTGTAAAGCTGAAGCACATATCATCATCATTTCTTCGCATTTTTAGGGAGCCCTTTCAGGGACGACATTCTCTCTTATCCATCCCTCTACAGATTCTTCTGTGTACTAAATTCCCCCTGAATGCAAAGGGAGACCCCAGCGAGGGCCATGCCAAGGGGAACAGGCAGAAACTAGAAGGTTCCCCCAAGTGATTTGTGAGCATTAATTAGGTAACATGCTCTTGGGGAGGTTTGCTAGCTGTTTGACCTCGTTTTCTTCAAACCAGATCAAAAGACTTATTTGAAACAGAAGAGTAGAATGCATTCTTCAAACATTGTCCTTATTATGTTAATATATCAAAAATTAAAATAGCAAAATGTCCTATTTTAAGTCCAGTAATTCACTTTGACATAAAATTTTTGCTTTCTCCACTATTCACATTTGCAACTAAATGTCATCTAAAAAAAATCTGCTGCCCTCTCATACCAAAAGTTGATAGTTTCTTATGCAAGTATGCCTATAAGTATTTTCATCACATGTTATTCTTCTGACAGTTTCTTTGATTACTAAAATAACTTGTAGTCATTGTAATATTAATAATAATTTATAGTTATTATCTATGGACTTTCAGATGGCACTGATAAATGAATATAATTCTTTTTCCTTGCCTTCATTTTGCCTAGAGATTATCGCTCATTTTCTTCCCAAAGAACAAACAAAATCAGTCTCACTTTAAACCATGGAAATTTTTCCTCAGGGGCTCTCTATAGTTCCCTACGAAATATGTCTTATAGTATAAATTAAATTCTACAAAGGTGGCAGTCAATTTTGTTTGGAAATTTTAACCTGTTAAATGTCTTTTTACTTTACCAACCAAACTTCAAATAAAGCAAAAATAAAACCTAGAAAAAAGAAAAAGAATTTCTACAGCAAACTTCGCATCAAGCAGAGTCAAGTTCAAGCCAAAGGGGACCCTGAATACTTCTGACTTCCTAACAAGATGTTCATCTGAACTGGTTAAGAAAAAATGATCATGATAAGGCAGCAAAATTACAGCTTCTTATGCTTTCTTTGTGGTGTGTGTGTGTTCTGTGATAAAGAATCCTTTTTGAACTAAGAAAAGAGTTTTAAAGCTTGATTCCTGGGTCTCTCATATTTTTTATGTTGCGTAGAAATGATGCAGTGTGGTGTCTAGAATGAATGATTCACCCTAACTTTCCCCTTGGCAATGGATTGGTGCTTATCATAACATGATGAACAGGATTTATCATAATCATTGAAATATGAAACCCAAATTTCCTTAATATCTACCTTTTAGTCATAAATGAGAAAATAAAAAATAACTTTAGAAATACAGATTTAATCTCCTAAAAGTAAAACATATTCCTTTTAAGAGTTTTAAAATATAAATTTCATATTCACTTAAGAATATTCCAAACTGATCTTTGTTCAACAATTCTTGTTTTAAATGCATACAACTTTAATGGGTGCGGAGGTTTTCATTAAACTAAATGTGATTCATCTATTTTTTCTGACCTGTTTCCCTGTTTGTTATCATTTCAAAAGTATTCTGCTAGTAAACATCTGTTATTTTTGCAGACTCACTGTAATGTAAACAGATGTGAGCTTTTATTTAGATTATATATCAGGAAATATTATATAAGCTACTCAACACTATCTTTGAACAGACAATTCTTTATTCTCTGACTACTGGAAAACACAAGTTCCTAAAATTGAGCAGATGTCAACTTTACTTAGTTTAATTTTAAACATGTAATCTGAACACCCATTGTGCCATCCGACCAGCACCTCCTCAGAGAGATACTTACCTCTCTGACTCTTGAAACCTGACAATTCAGAAAATGGAAATGATATACCTAGGGCTTGGTTGCTATCACAAGACATGAGCAAATATTGTTCTGTGTCTTTTAAATTCTTTTACTCTTTCTCTACTATGCTCTGCACATGATGATAGGATCCCCTGAGATCTCTGTCTTATCCTTTGCCTATAGTCAACCAAGTATCATTTCCTTTCTCTCAAAATGGGCTGCCAAAACATATTAGTTCTATTTCACGGATCAGGTGGAACAATGGGAAGAGAAGGGAAAAGGGTGTGTGCGGTAAGCGAGATAAAACTGTTATCAGGTACACCACTTGTCAAACTGTTTAAAATCTGTGCTATTTTTAGAGGGATTTTATTTTGGGGAAATAGAAAAGCAATATCACTTTATTTTTCTGAGCATAAATAACAACCACTAACTCTGCAATTAAATTTTAACTACTGACCATGTAAATATATGGAAGCTACAGTACCATGTAATCACAGGGTAACTATCTCATTATTTCTGTCTTTGAAGCTAAAGCCTTGTCATAAGATCTAAAAGCTGCGTGTTACATGGTAATTTGGATTTTTTAAAAAAATACTTGGTAACTTCAATAACAGGTTCTCAATATATCCACTTATTATTTATAGTGTATAACTATTCTAGTTCCCAATTTGCATAAGAGGAAACAAAATACCCTTCTTTTGACCATATACAGAGATGATACCTGCTCTTCACTAAAAATATCGTACAAAAATTGCTCATTAGTAGCCTGACATATTGAAATAGTTTGAAACATGAGATGGATTCATCTTCAACCTTTCTGTTTACCTCAAGGCAAATAAAGATGCTGCCAGGAGAGGGGAAGACCAATACTTTCATTCTTATCTCAGGCTACCAGCTGTACCACACCACTTTCTTTCTCAGTCTGTTCACTGCTGCCACTACTGTTTGAAGTATGTCAAGTTTGGAAAGCCCTATGTGGAACCTCTTGCAAAAAGAAAAGCTATCCGGGAAGGGTCTCTAAAGGAGAAATGAAATGGTCTTAGAAAAATGGGAAGGTGCTTTAAAAGAGCTTCTTATTCACTTCTCCCCTGTGTTGTAGCAACATTTATTATGATAAACCAGACATAAGTTGGAGACCCCAGGATCTTCAGCACCTGGGAGGTGACAGGAGCCACTGTTGAATAAAACTCTACTCTGTTTCCCTAAATATCCCATCGTGGTTCAGACAATCAAGTAAAACAGAAATCATAAACTTTAATCCAGAAGGAAAGGTGAAATGGAAAAGCTAATAAAGTTCGGAGTGGCTGATGAATTCCTTAAAAAAATCTCAGTTATCTTTTATTAAGATAATACAAATGTTTCAGCTTTTCATTGGAATCGACTTTGAGGAATTTCAAATGGTGTGGTCTGTAGGTAACATCTATGGAATTTAGAGAGGGAGACATTAATGAAGCTGGATGGTGCATCATTTTAATTGATCCACAGTTTAGGTGTGCTGGGCATCACTGGGATTTAATTTGATAGAAATTTGAGATTTCAAAGCAGGCTAAATGAAAATAGGTAAGCTTTAAGTGATCAGGTGAGTCTTAAAGTGTACTCATAAGAACAATGAGAAGAGAGAAAATGGGAATAAAGAATAAAGCTTCTTAACAAAAAATATTTATTAAACACAGATGGAAATATACAACAAGAAAAAAATGCAAGGATAGCCATAACTGGTACTTTTGGAAAAATAAAAGGCATTTTAATATTGTTATCTCTTAGCATTTTCATTTTATCTCATTATATTACAACTTATACAGTACTGCAATACTGCAGCTCAAATTAAGTTATTTTTACTTTTAAGCAGAAGGAAAGTTCTGATGTCTAATTTATTTCAGGTTTTTAAAAACTGTTTTCCCAACGTACAAATTCAATATTTAAAAAATATTATCCTAACAGCCTTCGTATGTTAGTAATGCCAAACTCATGTTTTTAATTAGCCAGAAAGCAGGTAGGCAGTAAAACATATTTGTGTAAAAAGGAGGGATAGTAAACTTAACTTCACACCTCATAAAAAGCTTTGTAGTCATCCCAGTGGTGGCTCTCAGCATCCTGTAAAATGCTTGTAGCACAAACTCTGATGCAGTAGTCCGTAACCTGAAACTGTAGAGTGTTGATGAATTCCTGATATCGTTGGACAGGCACCAGGAATATGGGTCTGTTCAGAGGGAATGATCAAAGAGACAGAGATTTAGGACCTGTGCAGTAGGAGGTAACAATCTCCAGTACTACAAATGGTTTTGATTATTAGATATCAATCATTCATTTCCTCCCAGTGCTGAAGCCCGCATCCACATTCACTTTCCAAAAAAGAAAAGGGGGAGAAAAAAAAGCTGGTCTTTGTTTTGCAAGTCCTTTGAAAAGGTACATCTGCTGTTCTACGAATGTGCACTTCAACTTGAGACAAACTTCATTGTCAATACATCATTCAAAACTAGAAGTATTCTCTGCAAGCCTATTATTAGAGATCGGTGCATTATTTAGGCATTAGGTTATCGTCATTACCAGAGAACAACATCCACTTGTCAGAATCAACTTCTATACAGCTATCACACATGCCACAAACACACTCTTTTTATTTAAGGAATTGTAATTTTGTAGATGCCAATTATCTCATAAACTGTTTAAAAATATTCCACAGAAATAAAGTGATTTCTGGCACATTCTGTTTATAAATTCAAGTATGAATCACAACATCTAACTACTTATGAGAATTAAAGAAATATCATAGCTAGTTCCCACATCAAGCCAAATTTATTTTTCTTATATCTTCAGCCATTTATAGTCCATGGTTTTCTCTCATGACTAAGAGGCTAAAGAACATAGACTAGATTCTTGGGGTTGTACTGGACTGCTAGGTCCACATATTCCTTTTGCATGTGGTCATATGAAGTTCTGGAGAGGCAAGTGTACGATAATATCTGTGCTGATTTTTATCTCTCTTCAGAAAACATATCATAATTTTAAACTGCTGTATACGAGAGGTAAGATTGGTAGATGCTTCCTCTTCAAATATTATGGAGAATCTATTACTAAATAGATGTCCTGCCATATGTTTACCCTGATCATTAAAACAGGTTAACAAGCATTTATTCCACCATGGAAATTCCTCTTCTGTTGGCTTAGAAACAGAAGAAAAAAGTAAATATTTCACAAATGAGTACATCTGGGACAAAAACAATTTCATTTTCTTTTTTTCAGTGAGGTCAGTATCATGTGCCTTACAAATGGAAGAGCTACACTTAATCACACCATAATAACATGCGGAAAGTAGCTGCTCTTTCGAGAGTGCTGTCATACCGATTCCCTTTCTTATTGTCTGTGTATGTAGGTTAGCATACCCCAGGCTCCACCTTTTTAACATTTGCTAGTCAAGACAAAAGAAAATAATTTGCCATGATAATTAGTATTTTCTCCTCAAATATTATCATCAAAATTTCATTCTGGTGATATTTGAAGATTACATGTTTCTTGAAGCATGGCCATCAACTTAATTTAAATGCCACTCACTTCTGAGTAGTTTCTTTCATCAAATTATCATACTTTGTGAAATGCTGGAAGACATATACTGCTGTGGAGAGGACTATGAGCAGGTTTTTCAGGGGTGCTCTGGAAGGAACCTCCTTGCTTCTCTCTTGCAGTCTTTCCAGGACAGCTGTTGCCACTTTATAACAGGCCTCCACCAAGTTTGCTCTCATTTCCTGAAAAGAATCATCTCTGCATGCCAGAACCAGTGGAAGCATTGTGTCAAGTTTTTCCATGATGTCAGAACAAAACTAGGGAGAAATAAATGTGGCGCTGAGTTATTTGTATTGTGACAGCACCGTGTAATTTATGTACAGTGGAGCCAAATTCCTAAATAATGAATTTGGCATCAACCATAAATACAGAGTCTCAGCTTTATAATAATCAATTTCTCAGTTGCAGAAAGTTAAATGTTTCATGTCAAATAAGGAAATACCAAAATGATGCTTCTCTATATATAACCTTCAAACATTATGCTTACCAGGCAGAAGGCAGACACTGTGGAAAACTCGTGAAACAGCTATACTGGACAATACCTTTATATGCAGTTAATAGAAGTCAGAAAATATATCCTTGATATTGTTTACATTGTTTCTGAAATTATACTAATCTTCTTTTGCTAAATTTCCACTGAAAATGTGTTAAATCAAACACCACATGTAAATATCAGTTTAATTTAAATAAATAAGAAGCAACAGAAACAATCTCGTGGCATTTTCATGTTGGTAAAAAGTCAGTAACTTTCAGAAGGAATGTGTCTGGATTTTCACTTTTTATTGTGTGTCTATTTTCTCTACTGGTGGAGGGTGGGTAGTGAATGCAAAGGTGAAGCCAACAGAACTTCCTAGGGAATGTTCTGGAATCTTAGGTTGCCAAAGTCAACCTGAGTCAGTTAGTGTTGAGTAACTGTATTTACTTATATTTATCTACTTCTTATTTTCTCAGTATTTTTTGTGACTTTTGAAACACTGGTAAAGATATTAAGACTGATGCTAGTGACATGGAATGTCTATTTAGGTATCAATGAAGATGTTTTAATTACTCAAACCAAAAAAAGACAATTATGTTTTTCAATCTCTGCATTTCTCCGAGACTCATTCAAAGCTACAACCAAAAACAGGCAGTGTTCCCAACTCCCTCTCAGTCCCAGAGGCTCCTTTTCCATTGCTTCACACTAAGGGGCCAAAAAGATAGCAAGAGGTACAAATCCTTTCTGGAAGCAGTTGCCCATGGATAGCAGAGAATAAAATTGTACATGGGTCAGGTATTTGCCAAGAGACTCCATTATTTGATCTACAGGTTCCTCTTTCAAGGCCTTATATTTAAAAAAGAAAAAAAGAAAAGAAATCCCATTCTACTCATCAGCAGTTTGAAAGGATTTCAGTTGGTACTTGCCTTTGCAATTTTCTTCGATTGTTGATCCTCAGGAAACACATGACTGTCTTTCCAGACTTGTTGGACATTTACAAGGTTCATAGCATAGCTCACAGCTGAAGACCTTTCACTTTGCTCCTGTTGGAGAATTTTTGCAGCAAAATTTGCAACTGTAGTGGTTATGCAATGTGCCATAGGAAGAGACACTTCTTTAAATGCATATCTCCAGCCAAAATCCAATAACGTAGCCTGAAATAAAAATTTATATAAAGTCATATTAGTCCTAACTTAGCAACAAATGTTTCTATAGATACAAAATTATTGTTTTCATTCAACACACTGAATATAGGTATTCTCCAATACACTGTAAAAGCTGTTCTTACAACCTGAAAAATATTACCTACTGAATAAAGCAATATACAAAACATGTGCATTCTTTACACACAGTAATATACTGACATTTCATTTTAATTCATCAGTGGATTTAATCAAAAACTTTTTTCCAAATTTAATCTTTTAAATATAGTTCAATAAAACCATCTTTATGAGAGCTGAAAGGTACATTTACTATTTATCACATAAGGCAACCTTTAAATTCAATATATTTAATAAAGTCTAAATTAGATTTTTATATTCCTTTTATAGTTTATTGTTAACAAGTATTGCAACATATGACAGCATTTAATATTCAATCTTTGATTTCTTTTTTAATCTCAAAATCCAGACAGGACAAAAAAATAGCAATAAGAAATAAATTTCTCACAGAAAACACAATGCCGTATCTTTCTGGATTTCTTGGTTAGAATTGTATTTAGTCTCTCCACCCACAAAGTGGTAGGCAGGCACTATTACTTTTGTTCCAGGAAATGAATTAAAATGATCTGCATTGTTCTGTGTGTGGGAGAAGTAGAAGGGCTTGAGGGGCAGGGGCTGATGTTGTCATGTTTTTGTCGGGTTTTTTTGGTCTATGTCTCATATGGCAATAAAACTTATGAATGTTTGTTTTTCTATGTTCCCTCATGTTCTTGAAAGTACTGAAAATTTATGAGTTCTATGAAGATCCTATGCTTAGAATAAAACTCTATTTCAATGTAACCTTATTGATGGTAACATTTCATCAACTCTAAATTCAGAAGACAGAATTACTTATTTTTCTTGATCCCAAGTTTTTTTGTTAAAAAAAATAGGAGAGGAGCTGAATGATTTCTATGGTCCCTTTTTAGAATAAAATTACTAAGATTATGATCATTAGCCTAATTTTCCTGTGTGCATACTCTATTCAGAATTAATTTAATGCTTTTTATATATTCTGTACAAAATAATAAAGGTGATTCATTTCTTAAAGCTAAAGTTCTATGACTTCATGACTCTATAATCAGAAAAAGTAGCTCTTCTTCTCATTATTGTCATAATGCAATGTAATTGAACCTCCCTGTCTAAAGTCTATTTGAACCTTTAATATCATAGGGCATGAAACACATCTCTCTTATCTTACATTTGCATAAAATTAACCAATAATTGAATCTGCTAAGTGTATAGAATCTCCTTTCTTTTTTGTTGTTGTTGTTTGTTTGTTTGTTTTTTGGTACTGGGGATCAAACTCGGTACCTTGCGCTTACGAGGCAGGTGGTGAAACTATCCCTGGCCCTAGAATCTCCTTTCTTAAAAGTGGAAATTTAGAAGTGGTATGATTCTAGATCTGGGCCATGACAGTAATCCCTTGGGGTGTACTTATAATAAAAAGGTAAACAAGAGCCCATTTCCATGAAAATGAAGACAAACAAAAACACTGATTTTTTGTTTCCTCAGCAGGCCATATCTATTCATTATTATGCCTCATTCATTCAAGAAACTATTTTCTGGTAAAAACTGTCATTAATTGTAGTGGTTGCAGTGAAAGCTTTTTTCTTTATTTTGGTCCAGTGATGATCTTTGCCCATGATAATCTATGTTATCTATGTTAATCTATGTTATAATATGTTATCCCATCTGAATTCCCTTTTCAAAACGTAAAAATAAACACATTAATAACTGCTCTTAAGTGGAAAATTGTAAACTTTTAGTTACTGAAACTTTTTTCTAAAAGTGTACTTTTTCATGAAAAATTGGTTACTTCTGCTTTTCCCAATCAATATTAGGCATCATACACATTCCAGTTAAAATACAGAACATTTACTAATTGATCCAAGAAAAAAGAGGGACTCATGGCTTTCTGTTCTGTGCACAGGTAGATATTTGTTGATTCTCTGTCTTCTGTTACCTAACACTAATTTAGAATTGATTTTGATTTTTGCTTAATGTACAATGTACAATTTTGAATTTTCCTCATTACTTTTATGGTTAGCTAGGCTGAAGCTCTGTTAAAACTATGTATTCATTTGCTAAAACTATTTATTCATTTCCTTTTTAAAATATTTACCATGTATTGGTCAGGATTCCTTAAGAAAAGAGAAACCACTCAAGGTATTTCAAAAGAAGAATTTAGACTAGGGTATTGGTTACATAGGTGATGAAAGATTTGAGAAACCAAACATAGACTGTAAAGCACAACAGATATTAATGCAGAAGAAAACTACAACCACCCATATGGCTGGAGGAGCAGAAGATGTAGAGTATGCTATGGGAGACTAGGACCTGGGGCTACTAGTGGAAACTAAACTCAAGGCAGACCAGCCAGGTACAACTGGAATCATGTAGGGAGTGCTTGCTGTATGGTGGGAGCAGAGTCCACAGAGGAGATAAAGAAGTCACAGCCACTGCCAGAGATTACCCTGAGGGAAAGAATGAAAGAAATACCCTTGTTTCTCTACAACTCCTACACTCCAATCTTCCATCAGTGCCTTGAATTAGCCAGATCTTCCCAGAACCCTGAAAGCAAAAGTCCCAAGGGGATATAATTCTCTACAATATAGAACAGAGCAGGAGAAGAGTGGGAATGCATCAGTAAATAAGCACTGGTTGGGCACACAAAAATAAAGGCTAGTTCAATTATTCTCTACCCCTTTTTATTTCCGTCATCTCACTTTTCAACAGTGGTCTACAGCTCACATTCTCAAAGTGCAGACTCTGAGTCAGGATAAGAACAAGGTCTCCTGACTTCCATCTCTGTAAACCCATAAAACAGACTGCAGAAGAACACCCAGAGCCCCCAAAACTGATTTCTGTCAAAAACTGATACGCCAAATTGCAGCCAGAAAAATTTTAGGGGAAATGGGTAAAACTTAAGACATTATGATTCATAATGGATTCATGAACACGATGGTGCTATTATTTATGAATAAAATCTCTTACCTCTTTTACTGGTAGCAACTGCTCTGAAGGAATACTAGTTTCATTTGTTCTAGGTTTCTCTATTATAACTTCCTGATTGGATTTCTCCAAAATTCCTAACACAAAAGAAACACACAAATATATTTAAAAATAACAAACCATACTAGCTATGATTAATGGATTCAGATTGAAATTAATTATGCAGAAAAGCTCTACCTAGAACATATACATACACATTAAACACACATACACCTGTCAATGCACAGGAAATATAGCCAACAAGACGTAGGGTGTAGCTCAGTGTGGTGGATAATCCCACCACTATGGGTGACTGAAACAGGAGGATTGAAACTTCTAGCCCAGCCCGGGCAATTTAGGTCCTGGATGCAATCCCCAGTACAGCGGGAAAAAAGCAGGGTAATAACATCATTACACTAATAACAAGATCAAGATATACAGAGTCCTTTTCCATGTACTGTACCACTTGAAGAAATGCACATAGTTATTTTTATATTTGATGTATATCAAAATACAATCTGCAAAGGTCTTTTGTCATTAGTTCATTCTCATGTTAACAGTGTAAGATGAATTAAGAGTAGAAAATAAACTTTGTTCATTTCAAAAATTAAGTTCTAAATTAGTACATACAAAAACTGGCAGTGTTTCTTAACACATTAACACTTCCTTTCTTGAAACAAAAAACAAAAATACATAGAAAATCATCACTATTTCAGAAAAATATACCTTTAATAATATATCAAAAATTAATTTGAAAACAAACACAGAAACAAACATGCTACAATCCCTAGCTCCTAAAATGGAAATAGTTTCTCAATTTAAGAAATTATTTCCCACTGGGAAAAAAACAGACCTACAAAAATGAAATGAATAATGTTTCAAAAAGAAATCTATTTTTCCATTAAAGGTACAGTAATAATAGTTTGATTCAATAATTTAGCATTAACTTTTTTTTCTTAAACTTAATATATGAGGATAAATGATTTATTATGATCTAATTTTTCTGCTTTTTTTTTCTAATTTAGCAGGAAGTTTACAAATTAGATTCTCATTTTGGAACAAAGTTAAGTTTCAAACTTTTATCAGTAGGGATTCTACTGATAATTCCTTTAAATGTGGTTCTATTATGTTAATTATGAATAATTTCTAAGAACTACTTAAAAATAAAAACTATTTTGTTACACTATTAAAGTTTCTTTCAACATTCTTGTACACAGTGTACTAAAAATAAATATTCCAGTTGTTAGGCAATAACACCACTACTAGATTTGGAGAAGTGCCTTCCAAGTGCACCTTGGAAATGATGGACTCTTTAAGAGGCGGGGCCTGGTGAGAGGAAGTTAGGTCACTGAGGGTGTGTCCTTGAGGTGGACATTAGGACCCCTGCCCCTTTCCTCTCTCTTTGCTTCCCAGCTGCCTCTTTGCCAGGTACTCACTCCTGTAGTTGCTCAAAGGCAACAGGCCCAAGGGACTATGGACTGAAACCTCTAAAACCATGAGCCAAAATAAACTTTTCTTCCTAAGTTCATTATCTCAGTATTTTGTCTCAGTCACCAACCATTTTGAGGAAATTTTATCACAGTTTATTATGAAGAAAAGTTTTCCTCAGCTCTCAAGTTTCTTCATTGTTTTAAATTTTTTAATACTTCAGAGAATTTGCTTAAAGGGACAGAAAAAAATATATAACATAGCAGCATGGCCCAGACTGCAGTTTAAGACTTCTGTTTTATTTCTTAAGATACATCACAACATAGAGGTTTTAGAATAAAATAGTATACCATTTATTCTAAAATGCTTTTCCTATGGTTTGCACTTTATAATGCATTTTTATAAGATGGGTTATAAATAAGAATCAATTCTAACATTAAACTAAAATCCAGATTAACCATGATTTTTTTATGTAAAAGAAAATGAAACCATAAAAAGGAAAATACAGACTATTTTTTCAAAAGAGCCATATGGAAAGGCTTTCCAGAACACAAACAGCAAAAGTCATAAAATAATTTTCCACAAAAAATATTATTAACAGTCAAAATTGATAAAATAAATTCACTTGGCAATCTCTCTCAAAAAATTCATTTAAATAAAATACAAGACTTATTTGTTCAGGTTTTAGATTTACACAAAAATTTATCAGAAACTATAGAGCTCCCATGTCTTTCCTTCATTCTCAGTTTTCCCCATTGTTTATGCCTTGCACTGATATGGCACCTCTGTTGATGTGATGAATGAGAACTAAAATACAATTATTAACTAAAGTTCACAATTTACATTGGGATTTGCATTTTCTGTTGTGCAATTCTAGATTTTGTCACACACATGATGTTATGTATCCACCATTACTTTATCACATCTAGTAGCTTCATTGCTCTGAAAATCCCCCTCTACACTGCTTATGTACATATCTCTCCTTTCTTAATCCCTATGCTTGGCAGAGTAGATCTTTTAAATGTCTTTACAGTTTTGTCTTTACCATAATGTCTTACAGTTGGAATTACATAGTATGTAGCCTTTTCAGATTGGCTTCATTCACTTAGCAATTTATATTTAAGATTCTTCCATGTTTTTTCATGGCTTGACATCTCATGTTTTTTTATTGATGAGTAATATTCCCTTGTATTGATATACCACAGTTTATTTATTCACTCACCTACTGAAGAATATCTTTGTTGCTTCCAAGTTTTGGTAACTATGAATAAAACTGCTATAAATATTCACATACAAGTTTTTGTGTGGATATAAATTTTTAACTCATTTGGGGAAGTACCTAGGAATGCAACTGTTAGACTATAAGGTAAGACTATGTTTAGCTTTGTAAGATACTGCCAAATTGTCTTTCAAAGAGGCTGCACCATTTTGCATTTCTAACAGCAAAGAAAAGAATGAGAGTTTCTATTGCCTCACATCCTTGCCAGAATTTGCCATTGTTAATGTTCTGGAGTTTAGCCATTCTGATAGGTGTGTCTTGTTTTAGTTTGCATTTCCCTAATGATATATGATGTTCAATATCTTTATATATGCGTACTTGCAATCTGAATATGCTCTTCCATGAGATGTCTATATAGATACTATATGCATTGCATATTTAAATTTAATTGTTTGTTTTCATGTTAAGTCTTAAGAGTTCTTTGTTTATTTTGGATATGAGTCCTTTATCAGATATGTGTTTTGCAATTTTTTTAGCCTGCAATTTATCTTTTCATCATCCTTATTACTGTAATTTTTATTTGACAATTATACTTCTGAAATGTACCTTTCAGATACACAGGTAGTTGTGCATATGTAAGACAAAGTTTAAGGAACTTTATCATATTGTTTGTGGTAGCAAACGAAAACATTTAAATGTCCATCAATTAATAGCTTGTGAAATTATGACATATGCAACAATCTTCAGCTGTTAGGCAGAATTAGCTGTCTCTATATATATTTTCTGAATTTTTAATAAAAAGAACACCAGGCTAGTATTAAGAAGATTTGTGTTATTTTTACATGGGGATATATATATACATATATATATATAGAGAGAGAGAGAGAGAGAGAGAGAGAGAGAGAGAGTAGCTATTTCTAGAAATGGAAACTCGACACATAAGATGCGAAAAGACATAATTTCATCACATATCCTTTTGCCCTGTTCAAAATACAATGTACATGTAGTACACAAAGCAATTTTAAAGAGGAAAAATAATAAAGATCAAGTTGTTAGTGACATGAAGAGACAACACTTGGATCCTTAATATCACTTCACTTTTCTTCAGATAGCTCATAAAACTAGATAATTAAAAAGGTATTTAGCCGAGGGGGAAAACAGCACTAGTTTGAAATATAAGCTTTGTCGATCTGTTTCTGGAAATAACTATCTGCTGCCATTATTATAGTTTAAGTCTTAAGAAAAAAAGTTAATTATCTTGTATTTATCATTTCACTCCCAAATACATTGTGTTTATTCACTAAATGTAATGTGCTCAGATGTTTATATAAACCATCTGCCTATTTTCAGGACGAGTAAGAAAAAAAGATAAGCCTTCCAAGACTTCTTCTGCTTGTGCACAATTCCAAAGTGAGAGAAAAAAATGAATTATCAAGTAATTATAGCAACCTTTAAAATATAATCTCTTTCAGAAAATTTTAAAACATTTTATAAAACCTCAAGTTTACACAGGAAAGCAGAAAGGAGCATTGTTAGGGAGAATTAGTAATACTGAATCCACACAATACCTTGTGGGTTCAGTGAATTATGACATTTTAATATATTTTTAGGATTCAAAATGGTCAACTTCAAAATTTGGCAATGTAAAACTTTATAAACTCTGTGAACACTTGGGGAATTACTGAACATATTTAACATACATTGATAATTCTATACACTTATTATTGTCTAGCAAAGACAGCCCATTTTTGGCTCATGACTCTAAAATATAGTTATTTGCACATGACCAACACTGGTTTCTCTAAGAGCATGCCTAGATTAAGAACCTCAGAAGAGTGCAGAGGGTCACAAGAATGCCAGCTGCTCAACAGCTTCCCCTACAGAGTTCTCTGTGGTTCATTTTACACTTCAGGTTAGTTTCCACACTGCCGCTTTCTTTCATAGAGAGTGGAGGTTGGCAGTACTTCCTGTGACATCCACTTTCACACCCAAATTGGTCTTCATAGGTTCCCATTGTGTGCACTACAAAGCAACTGGCCTTGGCAGCTCTAAGTGGGAAGTACAAGTCTTTCTTTTCTTCTTCACTGTTCTTTTCTGGCTCACAAGCAACCTCCCACCAAAAGCTTGACTCTGTAGAAGAGACTACATCCAAGAGATAATACCATGAAAAAGTATGAAGAGAAGCCCAGGTGGCCACCTTGCAAATTTCCAATGTGGAAGCCCTCGACCTCTCTGCCCAAGAAACAGCGAAAGTCCTAGAGTAATGAGCTTCACAAACCCTAGGAGCCTCTTTACCTTAACTACATACGCCTCCCTAATACAATCCCTTAACCATCTAGCTAAGGAACTCTTAGAAGCTATTTGACCCCTCTTAAGACCCCCTAAGAGTACAAACAATCTTTCAGAAGATCTGAAATCTTTGATTCTTCTGAGACAAACCCTAAGTGTTCTTCTTACATCCAATTGAAGCAGCCATTGCGCTTTGTCATTGCTGGGGCTAAAGAAAAATGAGGGCCAAGAAACCTCCTGGTTTAGATAAATCTCAGATGCCACCTTTGGAAAAAGTGAGGAATTGCCCCAAAAATGGCTTTATTCCAAAGGAGCATTAGAAATGCACCATAAAAACCCAAAGCCAGTCCATAAAATATCATCACCTAAAAGAAATACAGTAAGGCATCACACAATTAAATAATGCCCTATCATTTTCTGAAATGATGAAATAAGAAAGCCATCAAATCATGACCAAACAAAAAACAAATAAATATAATGACTAAATATCTTTTCCTTCTCAGAAAAGAAGATTTTTGCCTCTATAAAAACTCTTGTTCGCATTCAGATTGCTAAGAGAACTGCCAATTTGGCTAAGTCTACGATATAATAGTAAACATCAAAGTAGAAAGTAAAATATTTGGTTCATCATCTTTACATTTTCTGTATGTGATGTTATGCACCTGGATATTTTTAAAATATCTGGACAATGAAAAAAAAAAACCAACTCATTTTTATCAGATTGTTTTGGTTACAGAGAAATAGTAGAGAGCTTTTTCCAAGCTAACAAAATATACTCCAATCAAAACAAACACAAAAGACCAGATGACTTTTTTTCTCGTCTTCTCTCAGAAAAGATTTTTAAGTAAAACATTAACTATCAAGAGTATCCAACAGTTAAGATACATTTAGTTTCTTTAATCATCAGTTTCAATGCTTTTGATAAAAAAGCAGAAAGCAATGCTTTTGAATAAAAATTGATTAACTTGGATACACCAGAAGAACATTGAAGGGTTTTTTTTTTTGACAATTTTCCCCAAGATCATTCTTCTCAGAGAGCCATTTACATAAAGTTGTGTCAGATTATATCAATCTTCACTTAGTAACAACCAATAATTTCAGTAATGAAGAATACATATATCACAAGGACATGTTCTAGTACTCAGACATTTCTGATATCTGCTGTTCAAAATTCCTTCTTCATACTGTATTTGATAATCTACAATAAGTTCATATAGTACACTATTATTAATATGATACTGAGGTTGCTTTCATCTGCCAGACTGCTTTTATGAAGACAAATTTAGAGTAAGAAAGTATATTGTGGCATAATTCTATATTTGCTTTGTTGATTTTATTCAAGGATAGTAACTGCAGCTCTCAAATATACAGCATTTGCAAGCCTACCCATTGCTTGACTTTAATCTAATAGGCTGAACAAAATATTTTTTTCCTTTTTTCCCTGAAATAAGCATGTTAAATCTCTGCTTTAATTCTTGGCCATTTCAATTTTATATCTTTACACAGTACTTCTCTAACACCATTTTAACTTCAAAGTTATGCTCTCCTTAAGAAGAATAAAGTTCTCAGGATTCACACAAATCTCAAGGGTCTGGTCTAGGACAAAAACAAGATGACTCCAGATGGGTAGGGGTCCTAGATGTTTGGAGTTCTTCTTGTTTCTTGATTCACAGTTCAGAGAAGATCTACCAGAGAGGTAGATGAGCGATGCCTAATCTTAGCCAGGCATATGGTTGAGTACCACCACCAATGTCAGCTGTTTGAGGAATTAGCATGTCAATCAATAATCAAGATGTCGTAGTGCTCTATTCAAATCTCTTTGTAGAAGACCCATGAGGGCTCACATTATCTCCTAATTAAATCTACTTTTTCATTCTGACTTTTCATTAATATTCATATTTTCTTTCTTATATTTTTAATCCTTTGTTAGCTTCAGAAATTTGCAATTCACTTCCAGTTTTCTTCAAATTAGTTCCAAATTTGGAAAAGTGATTGCTAAAGTTTAGATATGGTTTGAATGTGTCCTACAAGGCTTCGTGTGTTAAAAGCTTGGCCCTTAGTGTGGGAAGATTGAGGTGGTGGGACTTGTAGGAGGTAGAGTCTAGTGAGAGGCCATTGGGAGCACCAATCTCAAAGGGAGTAAGGCAATTCTTATGGCCTTAGTTCTTGTGGGAGAGTTGTTGCCTAAAGAGCAAGATTGGACCTTCTCCTCACTCTGGCTTCCTGTCTGCCTGTGCTTGTGCCACAGTGATGCCATCTTCCATAAGGCAGTGTAGCTAGAAGTACCCATGCCAGAGTCAGTGCCTTTCATTTTGAACTTTCAGTCTCTCAAACTGTGAGCTCAATTAACTTCTTTTCATTACAAATTATCTGGCATCAAGTACTTTGCTATAGCAATTGAAAACGGAGTAATTCTGTGATCTACATTATTTACTCTGTAATAGTGATACCTAAACGTAACCTGAAACATAGAAAGCCAGTAAACTATGGTAATATAAAACAAACTCCAAATCTATAACTTTTCTAATATTATTTACACAAGGTAAAGTAAATAAATACATTTATTTTGCTTAATATCTTTACTCTTGTAATTGGTGACTTAGAAATTGGGGTTTGGAGTTGCAAATTGCAGATTTTAAAAAATCTTTTCCTTGTCTCACTTTATTTTGCCATTACAACCATTCTCCTTGGACTGATACATGGTATTGCCATGTATCAGTAAAATGGAGCTGTGCTCATTCCAATCTTACAAAAATGAAAATCTTTATAAATATAGCTATGACAACACCTAACCATTATGCCTTTGAATTTTTTTAAATATAACTTTCTTCAAAGGGAGTTTGTAAAGCTAACTGAACTTAAAACAGTATATTATACTTTTAAAAATATATCTTTATAATTGCTACTATCAACAACTCACATTTATTGTGTCTGATATGCTACACATACACTGTCATTTAATTCCCACACCACTATAGGTTGGAATCTGAAGTATCTAATCCTAAAAGAAAGCAAAAAGAAAATTAATTTAATCTTCTATGATTACTGTGAAGATGAGAAAACCCAGGCCTAAAGAGACTAAACACTTTGTTCGAGATCACCTAGTTGCAAGCAGCAGGAGAAGAAATACTAGGTCATCTAACCTGCTTAATCTACTATACGCCAAGCTGTTTTTCTGTGAAAAAAAAAAAAAGGAATTGATTTAATTTTAACCAAAGATAATTATCCTAAATATACTTAAGATGCTTTGTAAGTTAGAATTAAGCAATCTGCCAAATTCACAAATCAAAAATGAAATCCACGGTGTGCACTATACTAAACATTTATCTAAAGAATTTTACCATGTATTTTTTTCAAATAATGCCATAGATTCAAAGTGGTGCAAAAACAGAGAGAAGTTGTAGATTTACAATTTTTTTTTTTTAAAAAGAACATATTACCTGAAATATCCCTGGACATCTTGATTGACAAAAACGTTGCTTCAAATAATACTTGAATGTTGTTTTCTAGCTCCAAAAAGGATTTTATGAGCTGTGATAAGAATGTGAGTTCATCTAAGGATACCAAAAGGTTTTTTCCTTTCTGTGGGAATCCAGGAGTAACTGTGAAAAGAAAGATCAATACTGTTGTACATGCTGGTTTGTTTTCTCAGTAAATATTACAACAATCCTGTTGGGAGCAATGTTACATAATTTTAGGGAAAAATCATTTGAGTAGGCCTAGTTCTCCTGCCTACAGCCCAGCTATGACATTTTAGACATAATTGTATTTTGGCCTCAGGTCACAACTGAGACCTCAGTGATCCCCGGATGCTGTAATCTCCAGGACAAGACCACACCTGAGGGAGACACCAGGGAGGAACCAAATCTTCATCTGCATAGTTCCTCATTGTTCTTAGATTTCCACTGTCCCCCCACCCCACCCCCAGTTTTTTGTTACACCTTGTCTATCCCAATGTGAAGTACTGAACTCTGCATTTTCACTTGTTACATTTGATTCCCGGTGTACTGAATAAAAGGTGCTGCAAACTAGGGAGGCTTTTGTCTTTGCTGCTCAGAGCAGCACTGATCAGACCCAAAGCTCAGCTTCCTCTCAGTCTGTTTTCTACCTTTCCTGTAATTCGCTGTGTGCTGCCCTGGCTCGCAGGAGACTAGGACTCACTGCAGAGGTTCTGATAACGTCCCCTTCCCCTGTTCCCTACACAATCCATGTCATTCCATAAGTCATCAAAACTAACAAGATGCTCCACAATTAAAACAAGTTTGTTCATTACAAAAACACACACAAAATTTTCTAGGAGAGTTTCTTTCCTCTGGGAAGCCGGAGATAAATATTCTGTTTGATGCAAATACGATGAATAATTAGATTAATTTTCAGAGCTATAAACAGGAATGTGATTTGTTGTTGTAAAATCACATTTTAAATAATGCTATTTTTGTTTTTAAATTAGATTTATCATAACTTCAATCTGACCATGAGAAAACATCAGACAAACTTCTAGTGAGAGACATTCTGCAAAATAGCTAGCATGTACTATTCAAAAAGTGTCATGTCAGGAAACATAGAGAGCAGGAAATATTCCAGCCTAAAGGAACCTAAAAGAATATGATAACAGAAATCAATATATTATCAACCCCTTATTTTGCTACAAAAAATTTATTGTGGTAATTTGGTGAGATACAGATATATCTCTTTAAGACCTTATGTGTTATTTGTCCATTATTAAAAAGAACCAAGTTAACTTAGCAATTGACATGGATATAGATGACATAATTCATGAAATCATATTTTAAAATAACTCCTAAGTAATTATAATATCTATTGCTTACATAGAATAATACAACTTAAAGATTGATTCTTTTCCTCTTATAATTCTGCTAGTAGTCAAATCACATTAACATTTTATTATGATAGAAAACACTTACGCTTTTTAAGAGTACAAAGAACAGTTCAAATATTACATATTCTTTACTTCAATCTGTAGATTTCATTATAGCTTGACATCACCAAATGACATTTTTGAACATACTTTCAAGAATTTAAAGAATATTTCCTTTAGTAATGCCACATCTTAAAACACATATTTAAGAAATGTCTAGAGTAATTATAAACTGGACAGTTCGTAAACTCCTATAAAGTAAGCATAAACTGCGTTTAGAAGGAAAACATTGAGAGTACTATTTAGAAACTGTGTAGGGATCTGATAATGCCATTGCAGGGAAAAAAAGATTACGTTCGTCACATTGTAGAAGGATGGTTCCAGAAATGTTACAATTTTCTAGGTAATCCACCCTACTTCAGTGAAACTTAAAAATGTTGACATCATATCCATATGATAGTCTTTCGTGGAAGATCAAAAATATCATGATATCTTTGTAAGTAATACGAGAAAGGCATTTATCAACTTCAGTGTGGGATTTAGTCCTGTTCTTAAGGAGAAAAAAATATCTTTTTAAAAAACACACAAATGTCTACAAAACTTCTATTTCATCTTTCTATTTCTATTTGGCCTGTTTGATTTCTCTTTAGCTTTGGTTACAGAGGGCTAGTTTAACATTGTAAATCTTAAAGTTTCTTTTGGACATAACATATTTTTAAAACAAATTTTCAAAGTCTTTAAGAGTTCTTCCTAATTATCAAGAAAGAACATTTGATAGTTGGACTAAAAATTAAACATATTTAGAAAACTATTTGGCTCAATTCTGAATTGGAAGTATTGTAAAGGTTTATACTGTGAGAAAAGAAGCTCCTTAACAAAAACCATTAAGAGTCTTCACTATGATCTGTAGGATCCAGGATTGTACATGAGGAGATCTTACCTTGATGATCTAGACTTAGAAATACTTTGTATTCGAGACAGATGACAATATTGAAAGGCAAATCCATTTTAATTTGATAAATCTTTATCACTTAATAATGAAAGAGGACAGAATAATATGTATGACCTAAATCTCATCATTTTTGTCCCAAAGAAGCAATGATTATGGTGGAGGCCCATTAATTAGTAGTCTTTATTTCCTAACACTATTAGCTCAGTGTTCTCCCAAGGGATGTTGTGAAGGTTCTTAATTTATGGGCAAAATAATTCTGTGATACAATCATTTTGCGAAAGGCCAATTAAAGCAAAATTAAACACAAAGGATGGAATAGCATTTCCCAAACTTATTTGACTTATTTTCTCCGCAGTATCTCACAGGATTAGACTCTTAATCATCATGCCTTAGCTCATGATTTGTAACTGCCAGAGCATATCTCTTTTTCTGTCCCTTAGATTCTTCTCTGCTAGCCAAGTTAGGAAAGAATTTCTCCCAGCAGAAATTCTCTTTATGTTTTCCTTCATTAAATTAGCCTCTTTCTTTCTTTTTTCAATATTATTTCTGTTTGCTTCTCTTCCGAGGCACCTCTCCAGACAACTTCATCTGGATATAAGCGGTCTAGGAGTCTTCTTTCTCTAAGTCAATCTGTTCTTCATTTACTTATTAATCAAATTATTGTTTAAATCACCATGGAACTGTCTTTCCTCCAAGAAGGCTTTAACATACATGTTCCTACATGGGCAACTACATTTGGCCCATGACCAATCATTGCTGTAAAATATCTGAAATAATGAGTTCTGCTTTATTATACAATAAGCTCTGGTTCATAAGAAAATTTTATCTAATGTCTTAACAGTATTATTTTAAAAAGTAAATTTTGATTTCAGAGGAAAACTTTATACAATTTACCACAAACTAGTAATGAATAAGTCCATGTAAATAATAACTAGGTAGTTGAGGGGTTTTTCTTCTCTATTTTAATAAGCGTTTTTCTAAAATGCATATGAAACCCTCTGCTTTCCTATTTTTTAAACTATTTAGAACATGATTTAAATTTCTCTTTACAGAAGGATTATAAAGAAAGTTACTTCTACCCTGTAGTCAGGGACTAATGTCCTTCTGTTAAAGGGCATTTCATAAAGAGATAATCATTGGAAAAGGATTTTATTGTCAAATAATATAGGGAAATACCACATATGAAATCCTCCTTTAGGCGATTCATGATGCAAAATAACAAGTTAAAGTTTCTATTTGCTTTTATAATAAAATAAAAACATTTAAAATAATATTTCTCAAAATTTGTTGACCAGTTTAGCAGTTAACCAACACATCTATTCACTTCAGAGATTTTTCTCAAAAATGGTCTGACAGACCTCAAGATGAACCACTGTACAATGTAAGTATTTACCTTTGCTCTATCGTTTTACTTTACATTGTTCGCTCTTTGCTGTGGGTTTTTCTTGCTGGTTGTGTAGCTATTTTTACCAGTATCTTGTCCAATTTGTAAACTGCTGCTTCTAATATCATGGTCTTTTTGCAGACCCCTTTGAAAAATTAATGAAATTCTCCTAAATCACCCTGACTCTTGGTGAAAACTTGCCAGGTAGTCACAGTTTGAGGCCTGAACCAAACCACAGGAAATCCATCTATGGCTCTTAAAGGGCAACATGGTCCTAGATCTCCTGTATTACTAAAAAGGTACCTTCCAGGGAACTCTCCAGCTCTAATGACCTAGCAGCTCTGTGCAAAAATAAAAATTCCATAAAAATTCCTCTTGAGCAAGTACCCCGAGTGAGTTTTGTGCACCCTGGAGTTTGAAGGGTGCATAAGCTCCTGCTAAAAGTACTTGTAGCTGAAAATCATTCTCTAGGCAACAGAAAACCTAGATTTTGATCTTAGAAAGTCAAGCAAAAAGATGCTATTGTGTACAGCACCAGTGACTTTAACAAAACAAAACTTGGCTTTTTCCACAGCCAAAAATTTATGGCTTTTTTTCCCGAAAGAAATGTGGAACATCTGTAGGAAAGTTTAGAGAGCATATCCTATACATTTGCCCTGGGCAAAGGAAAAACTGCTGTTAGGAAAAAAACCTAAAGAATAGTCGAATTTCTATAAACACATTCATCACAATGTAAAATGATTTCCATGAGGCCAGAGGCTAAGTCCAGTTTATCCAAATTTTTAGCATCTCAGAACCAGCATGATCTCTTACACAAAATAGGTGCTCAAAAAAGAAAAAAAAAAAAGGACAAGAAAACCAGGAAATCTCATGGATTCTAGAGTAGCTAGGTCTGGCCCAAACAAAGATTTTTATGCCTAATCTGGAAATGTATTCTTTAAAATATTAATATTTATAGATGTTTGTAAATAGAGAAAATTTATATATTCTATAAACAGCCTGTATAGTATTTGACAAAATTACTTCTGAAAATTACTTCTAAAACAGAAAATGTGTGCAAATGGATAAAAAACTATGATGGGCTAGGATCTTGCTAGAACATACTGACACAATTCATTCTAAAATATGATTTTCGTGCATTAAAAAAAGCATAATTCAGAAAAAAAACCTTCACTATGAATAAAGTGCACAGATATTCTCAGAATTTTGCCTAAAATTTTTAAAAAGACTGTTTCCCTCCCTCCTGTTCCACATATATTTATATATTTGTAGATATATGCATATGTGTTTATAGGTAGATGTGTGTATATATGTCTAAACATTCATATATCAATACATATATCTATAGATATATTACTCATGAAGAATATAGGGGAAACTGTAAAAG